GCCAAAATGAGACCAGGCAATGCCATCGCTGAGTCTGTCAGCCAGCTATCCATTATCGTAACAAGTGCCTGTGACAAATAATCTTGGAAAGAAGGAAGGTTTATTTGGCTCATGTGTTTTTTGTTTTGTTTTTTAATATTTGCAGTTTTCCTAACTAGTTTTCCTTCTTTTTACTTTCTTTCTTGGATTTATTTATTTATTATGTATACAGTGTTCTGCCTGCATGTATCCCTGCAGACCAAAGGGGGCACCAGATCTCATTACAGATGGTAGTGAGCCACCATGAGGATGCTGGGAATTGAACTCAGGACCTCTGGAAGAGCAGCCAGTGTTCTTAACCTCTGAGCCATCTCTCCAGCCCTTGTGATTTTGAGGTTCGGTTCATGATCAGTTTGCCTGGACACGGACATGGGATGGGACAGTAGATCCTGGTGGGAGCACATGGCAGCAGAGGACTCTTTACCTCGTAGCCAGGTGTGAAGAAAAATCAAAGAGGAAAGGGTGGGGTCCCACTAGCCATCTTTCCCTGCCTGCCTTGCCTGGCCTTTCTTTCTAAACATGTGCTTCTATTTGTGTGTATGTGCGTGTCTCTGTGTGAGTGTGGGCACACCCTCACAAGCCAGAGGAAGACAACTTTCAGGAGTCTGTTCATCTCTTTCCACCTTGGGTTCCAGGGTTAAACTCTGGTCACTGGGCTTTTGCGGCAAGTACTTTACCTGCTGACCACCCCTCACCAGCCTTCCTACAATCCCTTTCAAGGACACATGCAGACCCAACTCTCACAGGTTTTGTCATTACCCAGGACCTCAAAACTGGGGACCAAGATTTTAACACATAACTTTCTGGAAATATTCAAGCTCCACACTAAAGCAAAAGCCCGAAGAATTTCAGGTCGGTGTAAATCCTTTCTCCCTCGAGAAGCCTGTGAGTATGCCTTTAACTCCGACTCATGTAGGATTCCACCTCTAGCAAGTGAAGAGACCTACTGGATGCCACTAGAACCAATTGTTGGTTTGTTTTCATTTTGATTTCTTATTTTATATGAGGTGCATGTAACCCAGGTCAGTTTCAAACTCCCTGTGTGGCAAAGGTGGGGCCTCCAACTTCTCATCCCCCTGCTTCTGTCTCCCAAGCACTGCAATTGTAAGCCTGTCACTACCACACCTGGCTTAAACCAGTTCTTGGTGAATTATTACATTCTGGGTAGCTGAAAAGGAACAAAAACATTTTGTTTTTATATTTTTTTCTGTGTATGTGTGCATGTGTTTGCATTCGTGTGTGTGTGTGTGTGTGTGTGTGTGTGTGTGTGTGTGTGTGTGTGTGTGTGCCTTGTGTGGAAGCCAAAAGACAACCTAAGCTGTTGTTACTGGGGAACAGTACACTTAATTTTTGAGGGGGCGGTGTCCCTCTCTGTCTGGCCTAAGACCCAAACTAATAGGCTAGGCTGGCCAGCCCGTGAGCACCGTGGATCTTCCTGTCTCTGCCTCCCCTGTGCTGGGATTACAAAAGCACGATGTAGTATAGGATTTTAAACATGGGTTCTGGGGAACAAATTCAGGTCCTTGTGTCTGCAAGGCAAACACTGTACTAGCTGAGCCATCTCCCCAGCCCCCTCAACATTTTTCTTTCTATTTTTTTAATTAAAATTTACGACAAATTGAAAAATTAAAAAAAAAATCATGCGGCAAAACATCTTCAAAGCAGACAGAACTCTTAGGCTGTCTATCTAGTTTCAGGCAGTTTCTATTTTTAACAGGCTCAGATCAGAATAACTTTAGGTCTTTCTCTGGCTGGGAGAGAGAAGTCATGACACCTCTGCTGGTTTCTATGACAACCACCAACAGCTATGATAATGCCGATGAAAGAACCGGGGGACTTGGTCATTTTACCACGTTGTGTGTATGTGCAGCCAGATGGGAGCTGACGTATTAGCTCAGGCAAATGCACACTCCACTTAATCAACCTGTTGTGTCTCCATTTTCCAGGGGAGTGGGGGTGGGTTAGCAAAGGGTAAGGTCAGGCCTTCACTCTCGCCTTCATGGGTTCTGCAGATGCGTTTTTTTTTTTCTGTCACTGGGAAGAGATTAGTTGGTGACCTACTTCCAGTTATACAAGTTAGACTGTCATGATTCCAGAGGGTGGTGGCTCGAAATAGCCCCGTGCATTTGTGCTCAGTGGCAAACACAAGTTGCTTTCCCACAAAGAAGTTGATTCCAAAGGCCAGGCATGGGATGGGGCTCACTCTCAAGCCTGCAGGCCGCAGACTGCAGGTTCCAGGCTTGGGAGGACGGGCACAGAGGTCTCTGTCTTTCACTTTACCTTCTTGGGTCCTTTTTCTGGGATCTCCCAGAAATGTCTCACTTCGTCACACATCACACAGGGCACAGGGCACTTTGACAAGGGACCACACTGCCCGTGGCATGGCTTTCAGAATGCTCAGCTGAGACTTTCGCAGCACAGTAGGAATTCAGGACTGGAGGGAGGCAGTTCAGGTCCACGCAGAGAGAGATTGCCTAGCGTCTGTGAAGCCCTGGGTTTGATGTCCATGCACATTTCTGGGCAAGGTGACACAGGGCTACCCCAGCAGGTGGGGGTAGGGCAGAGGGTCAGAAGTTCAAGGTCATTCTTGGTGAGTTCAAAGCCAGCCTGGGTTATAGGAGACCCTGTCGGGGGGAAAACAAACGACCCCCACACCCCAACCCCAGCCGTGACACCCGAGAGCGGGGTGTGGCGGTTTGAAAAAGTGTCCCCTATGGACCCATGCATTTTAACACTTGACCCCAAGTTCGTAGCTGTTTGGGGAGGAAGGGCATCCGTTTGTAGCCGCACCCCACTTCCAGTTCTCTCTACCTTCTCTCGGCTTCCTGTTCCTGCTGCGTGACAGACAACTGGTCCTCCGGAACCACAAGCCAAAAAGAAAACGACGACCCTCCTTCTTCCGTAACTTGCTCTGGGTTGTGGCCTTTGGGCACAGCAACAGAAAAGTACCTGACACACAGGAGAAAGGTCTTCCACTCAGTCTGTGTGCCGACGACGGCCAGTCTAGACTTGCCTCTCCATGCTCTCCTTCTCCATTATTATTAGCCACAGGTCCACTCGCGTCCCAGAAGTAGCTCAGGAAAGTAAACGTTCCAGAATTTACAGGCCTAGACTAATAGTTTCTCCGGTATCGGCCTGATGGGCGGATGTGTCAAGGCCTGTAGACTTCTGTCTGTGTTTGGCAGAGATTTGTTTATTCTGTGCTTTCTGTGTGCTGGACTCAGTGCTAGGCAACATGATCCATGACCTCTTGATATTTAAATTTTTGTGGCAACAAGGCCAACAAGCACCATTCCTGAGGAAGACAGCAGGCTACATGTTTGGGCTGTCTCTTGGTAGCAAGGGCTGCTTGAGTTAAGCTGGGAAAAACACTAGTTGAGTCCCACTGTGTTCCAGCCCTGGGGAAAACTGTTACCTGACCTAAGTTCATGCCAGTCTATGAGGCTGTACAACCTTACATAAGAACTGAGGTAACTCCGTGAGATTCCCACAGGCACACACTCAGAAAGTGGCTGAGTCAGAAAATGAACTCAGACTTTTGTGCCCTAATTCCTGCAAAATACATCCTCCAGAACAGAACAAGAGTTAACTCTGCCTTCCAGAAAAAACAGCTCAGAGTCTGCGAATGGTATGTCCAAGGTCACTGAAATCGCCTCAGGTTGAGGTGGTACTAAATGTAGGTCTGTCCATCCCCTGCTCCCAGCATCTCCTCAGCGCACTACAGCCTGTCCCCTCACCGTTCTTTCCTTATGCCAGATGATAGCCGTCACCAGTGGCATTGCCCATGAAGCGGCATCGTGACTGTCGCTTTCGGGGTAGTGAAGCAAGTGGGGTAACTGTTTCTTACGTCTGAGGTCCTTACAGAGCTGACCCTGGTACAGACTGAGAAACTGAGGCCACCCTTTGCCTTGGTGTGGCTGTTCCCGACCTACACAAGCCACTCCAGGTTCCGTCTCACTGTCCCACAGACCTTGTATTCCTCAAGCCCTGAGCTTCCTGTCTCCAGCTCCACCCAGACTGGCGGTTCCAAGCAAGCCGTCAGAAAACCAGGGTTCACTTTCACCAGTTTCTATTTCTCGGCTCTCGGTAGCGCTCAATGTGTGTAGGACAGAGGGGGAAATGTGTGAACAAAACAGCCCTGTAGGCATGTGCTTCTTGCCCACTAGAGGAAGGAGAGAGGAGCATCCGTGCTGGCCTTGGAGCTCTGTAGCGCCTCCTTCTATCAGTTCTGTTCCTCTCGAGAACCCTGACTAAAACAGATGCTCAGGTACCTCGGAGAGGAGCGGTAAACAGACAGAAAACTTGCACATTAATATTGATTGCTAGGTATTAGCAAGTGCTTTACAATGTCTTCCATGGGGTGCTTGCACGTCTCCCATGCCAGGCATGCGCAATTCAGTGGCTGAGCAGGAAGAGGAACGTTATCCGCTGCTGTCCATGCTTACACTGTATTCCCTTGTCCCTCATACGTTAACACAAATAGGCAAATCAGCAAAAAGGCAAAACTGGCCTTCTGTGTTTGGCTAATGCTTCTGCTGGTCCAAACAGTGCTCCTCAAGAAGTGGTGGTGTATACCTCCGATCCCAGCACTCAGTGGGCTGAGACAGAAAAATGGGGAGAGAATTCGAAGCCAGCCTGGACTACATGGTGAGAATGGTCTTGATGAGGAGGGGTCACGGGAGAAAGGAAATGGACAGGAGGAGGAGGAGAGGAGGAAGAAAAAGAAGAGCTTAGTTTACAAAGTTGACCTCTCCAAGAGAGTGAACCAGATGTCATCCTGTGTCCTTCAAAGGAGCCTTATGCTAAAGACACAGCGGGGCACAGTCACAGCATCTCATCAAGGTGGTGGGAAGGCTTATCAGAGAGTGCCTATGGGCCTTTGTATTTGGGAAGTGTGTGTGCCAAGGAAACCACACAGTCTGTGGGCAAGAAGAACCAAAGAGCTCCATCTAGTGACTTACTGAGTTCTTCTCATGATAAAATCGGACCCAGGAAAGCAAGACTCCTCTTCACAGACGAGCCCAAAAAAGAACTGTGCAAATAAAACACAAACCCCAAATTACTCCACACAGGACCTCCAACACATGCAAATCCAAGTTTTTTTTATATATAAATAATTAAAATATTTTTTGCGAAAAGTTTTATGTTCATAAAACTATACTGGCAAGTAAATAATTTTCATTAATTTAGGAACCCCAGCCCTCACCCCAAGACACTTTCTGTATTGATGTTATCACTTTTTGCAAGCCGTATCACCCATATGATCGTAGGATGTGCATCATTTGAAATGTTCCTTGCAATATTTATGTTTTTCCAATTCTTACGAACACTTAGGGTTTTGCATTCATTCGTGTTAAATTCATGTAACACACAGGGAAAATTAATAAAAAACTATTTGGGGAATGAAGCATACATTTGATGGGTGATATCATTCTGTATGCTGTGAATGTGTTGTTCTGATTGGTTGATAAATAAAATGCTGATTGGCCAGTAGCCAGGCAGGAAGTATAGGTGGGACGAGCAGACTAAAGGAAGAGGAAGAGCAGAGTCAGGAGTCACCAGCCAGACACAGAGAAAGCAAGATGTGAAGGCAGAACTGAGAAAAGGTACCAAGCCATGTGGCTAACATAAATAAGAATTGTGGATTAACTTAAGTGTAAGAGCTACTCAGTAATAAGTCTGAGCTAATGGCCCAGCAGTTATAATTAATATAAGCCTCCGAATGATTATTTTATAAGCAGCTGAGGGACCACGCCGCTGGGTGGGACACAGGAAAACTTCTAGCTACATTCATTAGTGTGTATGAGGAAGCAAGCGTGAAGAAGAGAAGGAAGGCCTAAAGCCAGTGGAATCCCGCACTTCCTAAGCTATGATAAATGCCTAAAGTTATGACCTAAGGGATAACAGAGCCCCAGTCTAGTGGGGGCGAGGGCTGGAGTCTCTGTCTGTCAAATACGTTCCTGGAAGACAGAGATGGGTGTCACTGACAGACGAACAAAATGCAGACTTCCCTGGTGACCATGGCATCACATCACATATGGAATTTGGCAACTCACGTGTGGTGGAGGCAACAGATGGAAACTACAGAAATAGTGTGTCTGGCAGCTAGGTGTGGGTGAGTAATTAGCTGAAGTCAACATAGGATAAAAATAAGTATGTGTCTTAGTTAGGGTTTCTATTGCTGTGATAAAACACCAAGACCACAAGTAAGTTGGGGAGGAAAGGGTTTATTTCACTTATACTTACACACTATGGTTCATCATTAGGGGAGTCAGGGCAGGAACTCAAGCAGGGCAGGGACCTGGAGACAGAAACTGAGGCAGAGGCCATGAGGAGTGCCGCTTACTGGCTTGCTCCTCATGACTTGCTCAACCTTCCTTCTTATTTAGCACCCAGGAGCACCAGCCCAGGGGTAGCACCTTCCTCAGTGAGCCGGGCCTTCCCGCATCAGTCATCAATCAAGGAAAGGCACCTCAGGCCAATCTGGTGGGGGCATTTGCTCAACTGAGTTCCCCTCTTTCAAAATGACTCTAGTTTTTGCCAAGCAGAATAGAACCAGCCAGCACAGTATACACTCTTAGGATTAATCATTTTAGGAATATTTAAATTTTTCATTTAAATATCATCCAGATAACACTGTCATATCTGGGATACAGGGATATATTTTAACATTTGATGCCAATACATGTCCTGAATTACTTTGAAGCGGATCTGGACACTCTCTGTGCTATGGTTTGGGCACATTTCCCAAGGGTTCATGTGTTGGTGCTCGGTCCAAGTGCAGTGATAAGAAAAGTGTTGGAACATTGAAAAGCAGAGCCAGTAGGAGCCAGATGCTCAGGCATTGCTCCTGGGCAGACCAGTGAAATTCATGAGGACCCCTTGTTAGTGCTCGTCAGAGTGGGAGCATGAAGCAGTCAGTCAGTCTGTCTGTCTCTCTTATGTGCTCTTTTGTTTTTCTATTCTCAGCCCCAGGGCCTCGTGCATGCTGATCAAGCACTCTGACGCTGTTTCTCTTTCTTCATCTTTGTGACATAAACAGACGGCTCACCTGAACCAGAGACCAAGCAGTTAGGGCGGCCTACACTGGAACTTTTGGCCTTTGTTTGTTTGGGGTTTTTTGTTGTTTTTCTAGACGGGGTTTCTCTGTGTAGCTTTGGCTATCCTGGAACTCTGTAGACCAGGCTGGCAAACTCACAGAGATCCACAGGCCTCTGCCTCCTGAGAGCTGGGATTAAAGATGTGCACCACCACTGCCCGGCAAACTTTTGGTCTTTAATATTGGGCTAAGTAATTTTTGTTGTTTCTAAAGTTCTTAGCTTTAGGCATTTATCATAGCAACAGAAAACAGATGTCTTAGATACTTTTCCATTGCTGAGGAAAAAAAAAACAATGCCATGACCAACGCTTCTTATAAAAGAAAGAATGTAATCCATCCTATAGTTTTAGAGGTTTAGGATCCATGAGAGTGGAGCAACTATAGATAATGCAGCAGCAGCTGAGAGCGCCGGTCTTGATCACAAGTAGAAACAGAGAGAACTAACTCAAAATTGTGGTGGTATTCTAATTGAACTGAAATGTGATTTTGATTGTATATTAATAAATAAAGTTACCCGGGGGTCAGAGCTATTAGAGCCATAGCAAGAGTGTGGCGGTGGTAGCGCACGCCTTTAATCCCATAGATCTCTGTGTGTTCAGGGATACAGCCAGCATTGGAGACATATGCCTTTAAGACCTGGGGGGCTGTACATACAGACAGTGACGAGGCAGTCACGTGTTTGGGTTTACAACCAAGGAGAAGGCAGAACAAAATACTATAAAAAGACGGACAGACAGGATGTAGCTTTCTTTCGGGAAGCTGGGACACCTCAGGAGGAAGGGTGAGATTTTAGCTCTGAGCTCTGACCTCTCAGCTTTCTCTTTTACATTGGTTCTGTGTTTCTTATTTAATAAGACTGTTGGATACATCTACACAAAATGGTAATAGTCCTTTGAAACCTCAAATCCCACCTCCAGTGACATACTTCCTTCAACAAGGCCACGTCTCCTAATCCTCCCCCAAATAGCCACCAACTAGGGACCAAATATTCAAACATGCAGCCCTATGGGGGCCATTCTCGTGCAAACCACCACATTTCACTCCTCAGCTCCCATAGCTCCTGGCCATATCATAATACAAATGCATTCGGTCCAACGTCAGAAGTCCCCGTAGTCTACCACAGACTCAACAATGTTCTAAAGTCCGAGCCTCTTCGGAAACGCAAAGCAATTTCTTTACTGTAACCCCGTGGAAAATCAAAAAGCAAATCACACACTTCCAACATTACCGTGGCACAGAATAGACATCACCATTCCAAAAGGGAGGAACGGGGGCATAGTGAGGAAGTACTGGACCAAAGCGACTGAAACCCAGCAGGGCAAACTCCACATCCTGCAGCTGTGTGTCTGCGGTCAAAGGACCCGGATGGCGCTGTCCTTTGCCCTCTGCTGCCTGCAGCACAGCAGCTGTCTGGGTGGTTCCACTCCTGGTCTGCAGCTTTCCCTGGCAGACATCTCATGCTCTGGCACCTCTATTTATTACACTTATTTATTTATGTTTGTGTGTGTGTGTGTGTGTGTGTGTGTGTGTGTGTGTGTGTGTGAAGTTGGTTCTTTGTGTCTACCAAATGTGTCCCTGGGATTGAACTAGGGTCCAGGCTTAATGGCAGGTGCCAAAACCTGCTCAACCAACTCGCTAACTTTTTTTTTTTTTTTTTTTTGGCAGGGTGCTATGTTATTGCTTTCCACACTCACTGGGCAGAGAACCTTTGCTCAGAATCATTGACTTTGTTCAAACTTTTGATTTTTTTGTTCATTGTGATTTTTAAAAAAATGTTTACTTAAAATAGTTATTATTTCAATTACTCTCTTGATTCTTCCATATCTAAACCCTGCTAATCCGGGCCAGTACTGGCTTCTTCTCTGGACTCTCTTTTTTAATGAATTAAAAGTTACCCCGTAACACAAGGGTCCTCAGCATAGTGTTTGACACCACCAACAGTACAACCTGGAACAAGTGTCTTCTCTTGCTTATTCTGCCTAGAGTTAGTTCCTCATTTGCCCCATATACAGCAATTAAGCCATCTACACCCCAATTAGGGATAGCAATGCTTTGTTGTAGCCATGTATTCACAGATCTTATTTCAGAGCCTAACACACGGGAGGCTCCCTGGGAATGCTTGCTGAATGGCATTAAATGGCTTTTTACATGTACTGGATACAGATCACACAATTACACAATTAAATTTAGGAGTAGTTTTATATCTACAGCATGCTATAGCTTGGATGTTGAGTGTCCATCAAAGGCCCACGTGTTAATAGGTGGGCTCTGGGTGGAAGGCAGGTATAGAACTGTCAGAAAGTCCTCCTCCTAGTCTGGTACCTCTGCTGATGGATGGTGCCTCTGTGTTAGTCCTGGGCCCCGAGGTTCTGGGGAACTACCGTGTGGAGGGAGTGCAAAGTTTGGTGGGGGCGGCTAATGTGAAGTCCTTAAACCATGGCGGGAATGACTACGAGGGAGAGTGAGGCAGCCACCCCCTTCCACCTGTGTTTCTGGGCCATGAAGTGAGTAATTCGCTCTGCTTTGACCTTTAGTCATCGCCATCCAGAACGACCATCAGAGGAGGCCCAGAGACCCAAAGCCATAGGCACACCAGATCAAAGACTGGAACTACACAAATGCAAACCAACAAGCCTTTTCCTCGTTATAAGCTAATTTTTCAGATATTTTGTTTTTATTTTATTTTTTGGTGTATGGGTGTTTTGCCTGTGTCTATATGTCTGTGCATCATGTAAGTGGGTGCGGCTGGGAATCAAATTTGGATTCTCTGGAAGAGCATCCAGTGTGCTCAACTGCTGAGCTATCTCTCCAGACCACAGTATTTCTTGACAGTGAGAGAAAACTAACTAGAGCATTTTGAAGAGGGGGTGGGGGGTGGGGTGGGTGTCACATGCTTGTAATCCCAGGACTCAGGGACTGGTGCAGGAGGACCCGGAACCTGAGGCCATTTGGGACTATATAGAGAATGTGTCTCAAAACAAAAGCAACAACAAAATTTTAAGCAGGTTTAAGAAAAAAAAAAAAAAAGCTACTTAACAAGAATCAGTAATTTGGGAAGCCCTCAAAACCAGAACTGGTTCTAAGAAACCCAGAACGGCATTAAAGTCGAGCGAGATTTACAACGCAAAACTGCAAATGGAGCAAACTGAGTGACTTCATTGGATACAGGTCATTTAAATAAACTGGCCCGGCTACTGCACCCCACGGATATTTTACTATCTGTGTAATACGTCTCAATCAGCAGGAATGGGTTTGGTCTGTAGTAGCTCCCAGAACAGCTCAGTGGGTACAGGCACTTACTGCCGAGCCTGACATCTTGAGTTTGGTCCCTGACTCCCGAAAGTTCTCCTCCAGCTCCGTCACACGTCCACAGACAGATATACAAACAAGTAAATGCATTTTTTATTTTTTTTTTTAAAAGGACATCTAGCCCGAAGCAATCGTCTCTGACAAATTCACCAACCGAAAGGCTGGATGACAGTCCGGGGCACTCAGCCCCGTCACCAGCGTCCCTTATTGCTAATACGCTTCCCCTCCGCCTCCACCCGGGCTTCCAACGCCGCAGCGAGCGCTCAGCGTGGGCGACCCCCGGGCTGCCTCTTTTCGCAATCCCCCGGAGAAGCGGGAAGAACCGGCCCGCCCCGGCCCGGCCTCAGAGAGGACGCGACGCCTCGGGGCGGCCAGAGCCGTGCGGGTCGCCGGGCTGCGGGCAACATGGGCCGCCGGCCGCTCCTGTCCGCCAG